GGGATGTGGAACCGCGATCTCCGAGTCTGTCCTGGCCCAGGTGCTTGCATCTGAAAGCAGCAATGATAGATGAGTCAAAAATGCCTTGCAGCTTGTTATTTTTAAATTTATTATTTTTTTAATCCCACTTGATAACATAGGGACTTGGCCGTATAAGGACTTTTCTGTGCTATGGAAACAATAGATGACAGCTTAGCTGTTCCTTAGCCCAGTTACAGCTCACTTAATGTTCTTTTTTATTGCGAGCAGACTTCTAATGAGGTTATGAAACGAGCCTGTGTCACAGCTAAGTCCCACCCTTCTGCTGTGCTGCTGAGATAGGCCGCCCATGATTTCATCCTGGGGAGACAGGGGTGACTGATGGAGCCCTCCAGCTGCTCCAGAGTCACTTGCAGCTTCTGTTTTATCTGTCAAGTTAGGTGCTTGATAACCTCCAAGTTTTCCGGACTTCTGACCACTAGGAAAAAGAAAAGCTTTTTTTTTTTTCCCCCCATCTTTCTTTTATCCCAAGAAGCTCTGCTGAAGGGATATGTGTATCTGTGGTAACTTCCTTCCAGTTCTTCCATTTTCAGCCCTATCCAAAGGAGATAGTTTGAGTGAGTACCTGAAAAATATTTCTGCTAAAGTCAAACGGGCTCCAAACTGGACAATTGTCCATCAGTTTCTTTCTGGTAGACATATTTTTGTATGCTTCCACAGCTATCTGTTAGAGATATATCTCTGTGTACTTAAAATTAATGAAAAATTTAACCTGTAAAAGCCAGGAGCATGTCCTTGTAAGCCCTGTAAAGAAGAATGATTGTGCTTTGAAGGTGGTGTTCTTTAAGTCAGCAGGGGTTTATTCTTAGTATTATCATCACAGACTGCTAGGAAGATATTTCTTAATGTCTGTCTTTGTTCTCTGTCCGTGAAATGATCACGAGGTTTCTCTTCACTGTTAGAACATAGGATGAATTCACTGGGGTGTAGAAGATGCTGGAATAGGCGCTATAGAAGAACTGATTAACTAATGTATTTCAAGTGTTTTCATAGTGAATGCATGGATACTGTAAGAATATTTTAGTCTCTCTACAGCCATTCTTGTAAACTTCTGCTGCTTGGAGTGCTGTAAGACAACCACACGTGTACTTTGCATTTATTTCCAATGCTGATAATAGGCCCTTTCACAGAAGTCTCAAATACTGTCTGGGGCCTCACATTTAACAAAACCTGAACAAACAAACAGCATTGCTCTACCTGGAATGTTTTGGTTTCAGACACCTTTTACAGCCCAGGCTAGATGTGTGATGCCTAGCTAGGAATCTCTTTGATTTTAGGAATCCCAGCAAGCACAAGGCTGACTAAATAGCATCTGCTTGCAGACAAAGCACAGGACAAAGAAGAGGGGTTGGTTGTGGAATGCCAGTGCTTTCTGGGGTGGTTTGTTTGAAACTAGTCTCTTTAATCAAATTCTGTTTCTTCAAACCGCAGAGTCAAATGGTTCTTTAAAATAAGAAGGTCATACTTACTTTTTTATACTTTCAGGGTAATACCATAATCGGGACTAAGATATGGAAAACTGTGACGTGGTGAATGCTGCACAAGAAATCCCTTCATCTTCTGCAGACTCTGATGTCAGAAATACCCACAGCTCTGTCTGTAACTTGAATTGTAACAGGTAATATGGCAAAGGAATTCCTAACAAATATTTTTTTTTGTTTTTGTTTTGCTTAGAATGCTTTTACAGTAACACTGTTACTAAGGTGAAATAATATATAATGCTCAGCAATATATTTTAGTTAGATTTTTGGGTTGGGTTTTGGTTTTTTTTATATTTATAGCTATAATCCTTAGTGACTTCCATTTCTTTGTGTTTTGTAGAATGGGGTGGAAATAAGCCTGTCCAAAAAATTGTAAGAGATCAGTCTTTGGAAAGATTGTGTATGATGCTAAGTCATTTGTAGAGAACAGCAGTTTAGAAAAACTTAATTGCTTTTCTGTTCAATGCCAAGATATTCCTAGGGAATAAGAAGGGCAAATACAGACTAAAGGGCTAAGCGACAGATTAGGAGAGGTTCTTCCTGACTGACTTGTTAAAATGAGAATTAAAAGTCGCCCACTGCAAGTGTAACTTCTCAAAAGGAGGCAGTAATCTTGGACTTGATAAATCATTGATACAGAGAAGCTTCTATCTGTAAGCTTCTGGCCTCAGAATCTATGAAGAAGCACATTGATTTGATGAAAAGCTGTATTTGTTGACATTTGTACTAGTGAGCACTAATATCTGTGCTGATCATGCTGTCTCTCTTCTTGGAAAGCTACTGTGTTTTAATAGTATGTAAGATAAGAATGAAGCATGCCGTGGATTCTTTGACATTTTCTTGAAACACATCCTCATTCTTAAGGATTTTTTTTCAGCCTGATGAGGGTCACAATGTAAATTAAATGTATAATTCTTTTATGACTGCATAGCATATGTAGTATATTATTCTGGGTACTGTGTTGGACAACTGGCACAATAAATAATTGAACTATTTTTACTCATGTTTCACTAGAAGTCACTCATCCAATCCCAATGGAGTTTCTGGTTACTCAGGGAATACCAGGTCCTCATTAACACCTCGTGCTGTTGAGCTGCTCGCCTCCTTTATGCAAGATATCCAGAACATTGGAAATGCCGACTCAGAAATTGTGAAGAACTGCGAGGTATTTGATGTTTATTAAAAAAAAGAAATATTATATTAGTGTATCGGCTTTGCATTTTGGAAGGCAGATTTAATGATGGTATAGTTTAGCAGTAAGTTCTATATAGGCATGTGTTCTTCGTGATGGGGCAAATCTTTTTACACTATACAAATTAAGTCATTTGATGTAGAGATGTGTTATCTTGCTGTCTAGAAGGATCTTTTTTTAAGTGAATGTGTCCATAATGAGTTGTTTCCATTGACTGACATGATAGGGGAACGTTATTTATTGTGGGATAGACAACTGCAGTGCTGTTATAAACTTTGTATTATGTCACCACCTAAGTATAGGATTGCAAAACTATCTACAGCAAAAGGTGAGAGGTGCAATGTTAATGTGCTTTAATTATTTTACTTTGTGATTTAATAGACGAGGTGGCTACAATTATTGAGACTGGTAGAAAAACAATGTCAGGAACAAATAGTTGCCCAGCAAGAGCAGTTCCACCATCAAATCCAAGTAAGTAATGATTTGCTCATGTAGGTAGGTTAGGCTTTTCTCCCCACCAACCCCAATCCCCCTCAAAACCAATGTGATGCGGTCTCTGGCACCCGTGTCTTTTCCTGTAAGTGTGTTCAGGCAGGCAGTTAATGGAGGCGGATGACTGGAATGCTGATTTATGGGATGCGTTTTTGAGACAGCCTGGGATAATTAATAAAGTAACTGGTAGGAACTGTTACAGAAGTGAAGATTCTTGGATTATTTGTATTCGGTTGTTTTGTTTTCACAAACATTTGGTTCAGAATGCCTGGACAATAGTTGGATTTTGTAGATATGGATTGTTTTTTTGGGGACTGTTAGACTGTATCATTTCTAATTTTGAGACATTGTAGTTTTCTCTTCATTAGAGAAATGTTATGCAACTTGTCATTCCATCATCTAGACAGTGTGTAGTGTAGGAAAACATTCACTGTAATATGTGAACACTTTTATCACCTTTCGGTCAAACAGTCTCCTTTCTAAGAATGCAAAATGCCCCATGTGAAGATTGACATGTTTGCTGAATTGTAGTGATCCATTAAAACAGAAGAAATGTTTATGTATAAGAGACAGTAATTCTATACGTATGTGATGCTTAATATCTTCATCATTTTGGTTGCTGTTTTTCCCTTCCCTTTCCTGATGCCCTCTACACTAGTAGTAATCAACAGTTCCTGAACTGAATTAACAAGAGGTACTGTCCTTTTATCCTATCTCCTGTTTCTCCTTCTGCCTTCCCCTCCCACCTCGTTGTTTTTGTTCTGCAGTGTTTCCTTACCCCTTCCTCGTACTGTAGTGGTTTGATTCACTTGTTGCTAATCGTAGTCTTGACTAGTCCAATGTGTTGGCTTTGCCAGGTTTTGTCCTTAATAGGAAAGGCTACCTCTGGAAGAGGTGAGTTTGTGATATCGGCAGAGACTTAGCAACTGCATGAACTGCCAAACCAAATATAAAATTAACCGCCGTAACTTAGTTTCAGTTGTGTGAGCGTATTAGATAAAATAGATGGAGCTATTCCAAACTTAAACTGGTGTGCCAGTGACCTAGCGAAAATACTGAAATACAGGCAACTGAGCACATTCTAGTAAGAATAACAAAAAGCCAAAAAGAATAATCTACCATTTGGAGTTAGAAAAGCAGATGCTGCATTAGCACTGACATCACTCTGAGATAAGGCTTGCTCTGTCCCCTGTTCTGAGACCAACTGTGCTTATAAAAATACATCTTCATCCATGTGAAAAATATGGATCAAAAGACCTTGGGTTCATTTTGAAATCTTTGGGGTCTATCCTTGGCTTCTGTGATTTATACACCAGAAGACAAGTGTGCTAATGACAAACTCTCACCACCCATGGATCATCCTAAGGTCAGACTTTACAGAAGAAGATTTAGAAAAAAAAGTTACCTGCAATCCCAAACCTCTATAGAAATGTCATATTTTTCCAGTCTTCTCTTGGAGTTATTTGTGTGCAAAGAGAAGGAAAAGTGGTATTTAATTGGAAGAGTAGCCTTTTACTTTGCCCATGAGTTATTCTTGACAGAGATAAAATGTCAACAGAGAATCTGATCAGTTTTTTCCCCACAGTTCTGTCTCTTCCCTTTTGTTCTCCCTTTCCTGCCTTCCTCAACAGAATTGAGTCGCAGAATCAAACCGCAGATGCTTTGCTGCAGTCATGACTGAAATCATTAGCACCACAAAAAAACTTTGTCATTGCAGAAAACTTAATTCGCTGTTTTTTTTTCTGTAGAAAGACTGAGCTGAATTTCAATTATTAATTCTATTGCAAGTTAATAAAACATGAGGCTTGCTTCTGACTAGTGTTACCTGTAGGTTCCTCTGAAATCAAGTCTTATTTTTTTGATTCTTACTTTCAGAGAACAAATTATTTCTGTTCAGTTTGTGCTTTCCGCTCGCTAATCATATGTGAGTAATGCACTGTAGCTCTCTGAAAAACATTGAGTTCCACGTTCTTAAATTTATTGCAAGTTGTTTGTTTTGGTGTGTTTTCTTTTTTTTTCTTTTTTTTCCCTGAGGGAATTAGTTTGAAACCTGTTCTTGAAAAGGAGCTATGTACTCTGGTCTTGTAATGTGTAATAAGAGTTGTGTGCTCATGCAGAGCTGGGTAATGTGGATACAGCTCTGCAGAAGCACGAGTTGCTGGCCAAAGGACGCAGCCAGGGGCACTGCATGAAGTCTTTTCATAGCCCTTGACAAAAGCATTTCTTGTTTCTCAGAGCTGTTTCACTATACCAGTGCACAACTGTAAAATTTTTTAAAAAAAAACACGTATCTAATATGCTGAAATACCGTCTTTGCAAACATTGTACGCTAAAGAGTAACTAACCTGTTCAGTCTAGTGATCTCCTTACAGCTTTGCTCCACTCCATCTGATACCAAAACGATGAGAATGTAGATCTTGGTATGATATGAACAACCTAATAGTGTACTATCTAAATCAGATATTTTAAGGTCAAGTTTTATGCAAATAATCTGACAGAGGTACATTATTCCTATTCATGTAGCAGAGTAATAGTTTATAGTTCCATTAAAGTGCCCTTACAGTCATTAAAAATGTATGTCCAGGTTATAAATTCTTTTAAACCTCAATTTAGCAAGAGACTTTAGTTGTTCACTTCTGACGACACACGTAGTTAGTTTGTATTTCTGCAGCTGACTGGTAGGTAACTCTAGTTGTGAAGGCAGGTAGTGAATACATGCATGCATGTTTTTTACATTAATAAACGTTTACCGAGGCCTGTAACTCACTGCATGGAATTCAGGATTGTTCCCATGCGCATTTTACTGTTCCGCACAGTACGCATACATCAACTTTATGCATGACATGTCTACACATTGAAAACATTTGAGTTATTTGAAAAAAGTACTCTTAATTCTGTCACTAATAACATGAAGGTGCATCAAAATATAAATGTGATTTGTGGCACGATCTCATAGGAATTTTGCTTTTTCTTTAGCTGATTCAGGATGAGCTAAAGCGGTTGGTGAAATTGCAGACCAGCAATTGGGGTTCCAGCAGGAGCAGAAGTTTGCCTGCCAAGCTCACAGACACTTTTTCACCGTTAGAAAGCAAGATGGGGATGCGTTCCGAAATCTTTGAAGAGAATGAGTGCATTGTCAATCAGCTTCGATCAAATGAAGCGGAAAGTCAGCCGGATGCTTGTGATCTGCATCAGGAATGTTTTGCGAATGATGCTTCACTGACCAGCGGGTACGGCACGCTCTCTGCCTCCCAGCTGAACCCCGGCAAATCAAACGACGTTAGCAAGTGCCTGGACTACAGGGACAAAACTTCCCAGGGACAGGGCGATGCAGCGCTGTTGCAGAGTGACACGGTTGTGGCCGGTGTTCGAAATAAAAGAGAACTTTTGCCCCCAAAAATAGAGGAAAAATTTTCGTCGGGAAGGAACGATGTTTTAGTTTGTCCTGTTGAATCTGAACCTAAAGTTGATGAAGCTCAATGTGGAAAAAACCCCAGGTGAGCAGTAAACTTTCCAAATATGTTCATTTGTTGTAGACAGTCCCCAGTGAGTAAACAGCTGTTGGTAACTGGAACCAGGTAAGAATAGAGTAGAACCTCTTGACTGTAAAAAATACAATGCTGTTTGGGAGATAAAGTTACTTATTTAGCCTTATTATTCTGCAGGATGCAGATTTCCATCTGCAGGGTTTGTCTGTTGCAAATACATTGCAGAAAAATAGGAAAATCTACTTTCTTCTGCAAATATGAGCCAAGATACGGTTTGTGTGTAGCGCTTATCTGCTCACCAGGATTTTAAGTGCTGGTTATCGTTTTTATATGACTGATATTTTAATGTTGTGCTCAACCAGTCTTTTTTGCCCACATATAGGCATGCATTACAGTAAGAAATTGTATCAGACAACAGCCAAACGTGTCTGGGGTTTTCTGTTGTTCTTTTTGGTTGATCTTTCTTGTGCTCAGCATGTAGGGTAGATCATAACCCCCGTTGATATATATATGTTCTCTCCCTTCCTTCTGTTGGGATTTATTCCACTGTTTGATTCATGTCGCACATTTCCCTGAGGGGAGGGAGCTGCAATTTATGGACTGTCAGCAAGCTTAGAGCCGGAGAAGTTCAATTCAAGAGTGTTTTCTCGGTTTGAGAAACCTAAGACAACTTTTGAGATCATTGATGTATGAATTTTTGTCCTTTTTAATTAAAAAAAATACATGTATTGGAAATTGCTTTCTGTTTTATGTTTTGAACTTGGAAGGAATAAAGAGTTCAAACCAAAATGGAATAGTCCAGGTAACCCAAACTATTTTTTTTGAGGGGGTTGTTGTTCTTAATTTTTTAAAAGAAATTTTCGTTGTCATCTTTTTTCCATCCTTTCCACTGTTTGTCTTGAACTGGGACAATATGTAGTTTGTCAAAGTGACACTTTTTAACAAAATTGGAACATTGTTCCATGTCTACCTCTAAGAAGAATTTCTGGATGTCTTTTTTTTGTTTCTGTTCTGCTTTTGCTTCCCCCTGTGTTTCCCTCTGTAACTTGTTTCTATCTTTATCCTTGCAGAGTCTTTTGAATGGGAAGCCATCCTTAGTGTGTCTGAGCTGACAGCTTTACAAACATACACAATAAGAAAAAACATTTACCCTCCAGCTTAATTTTCTGGTTGCAATCAGTATCTACCTGAACAGACCAAAAAATAGTTGACTGGCTAAAAATACGGAGTTCTTGATTAGTTTGTGTTTGGTTTTATTTTTTACATCAGGAAAGCCATTTGGATTATCCGCACAGGTGACTAGCACCTTTGCTTTCAGTGATTTGCTTGTGTGGGGTTTTTTGTGTGTTATTTTGTTTTACTTTTTTTAAAAAAGAGCCCTAAAACATTTCCGTATTCATTAATTCATATTATTTCTCAAAAATTCACAAAAGCAGTGGAGTTTTAGTGCCTGCGTTTCACTTCGGAGAAGAAATTGCTTCAATGCCCTCACTGAAAAGGGCATCCGTACTTAGAGTGTGTGTGTCTTCCTTCCCATTTAGTACATCTTTAACGTCGTGGGCACAAAAGTTGAAACAAAACCAACCAAAAAAAATGAACGTCGAAGAAGTATCTGTGAACTCTATGCAAGAAAATGAGCAAGCAAAGAAACTACCACTTGAGGATGTAAGCACCTCTTTATTTTATGTTTCTTCTAATTTTGTTCTTGCCACTGGTGTTTTTTCGGTGTTATAGTATGTTCTGATTCATCATGTGCTTTCGCACTTGGCTTTGAGCATTTGAGTAGTAGTGTTGCCATTTATATGTTAAAAGCTCATGTGGGCAGAGTTTAGTTCTTGGATCATTCCGTAATTATTCACATAGCTACTTTGGCTTATTTTATTCCTTGCCTAATCGTTGTCTTAGTTTACTTAAGTAGCACATGTTCTTTCCTGATGGAGATAATAGTCACGTTCTCAACTGAAGCCTCAGATAGTGGTAAATTATTGTTCAGGACAGGTAGTGTTCTTCCCAACTGGGATTTTTAAATTGCAGAGATTTTTTTGTTTTGGTTTAGTTTGATTTGGGATTTTTTTTAGTGTTCTTAAGAGTCTCTTATGCTAAAATCCAAATGTGCTCTTGTTTTGATTCTCTTTTTTTTGGCTATTGTTTATGTAAGAATAATGCGTTCTTTTATGCCTGTGTATAACTGTGATTTGGCTAAATTGAACTACTCCAAGCACAGTTACAGCACTAGTTACTAAAAGTAACAAAACCCCACACCAGACATTTGGCAAATCTAATTGGCACTTTAGAATCATTTGTAGTAATGCATGTTGCTGTGGCTGCTTAATCAGCTCAAAATACTTTGAGAAGAATTTGTTTTTTCCCTGCACCATTTTCTTGAGTTAATAATTGTGTATGCCCACAAATCTGATTATTTCGGGGAGTTTTGTGAAGTTTAATCACATTTAATACTTCTAATCCAAAAAGGATGTTACGCAACATGATGGTATGAGTAATTGTCAGGCATGTAGCTATAAAGTTTTAGAATTACTTTTAGTATATTAATTACCACAAACCTCTGTCCTTATGCTATTTTTAAGGAAATAATTCCTGAAACTCTGTGAATGACTCCACCTACAAGAGAATAGGAGAACTAGCAAATATGAATCATTTGATTCCAGGCAGGGTCCGTTCTCTTTCATCTGGTCACTTTGAGGGTGATCCAGAAAGGGTAAGAGCAGCTCTTTGGACTTGCTCGCTCTCTCCAGTCTCCTGCTGTCTTCGCAAACAAGATGTTGTCCCAAGGGGATATTTCAATCTAGGACTCAAATTTATCTCCTCTGGGTTGTCATTGTTCTCTCTCAGCTTTTGAAAATAGCTTTATCATTCTATTCCTTTGTAAGAGTTCAGTTGATACCCCTTCATTTTCCTTTCTTCCTCCTTAGGCAAAGGAGAATACCTAAGTAAAATCATTAAGAGGGACAAAATAGCCTTGAGGTGAGATGGTACCTCATGCAAAAACTTGAAAAGCTTTAGTTCTAAATTCTTTTTTTCCTTACTTTTGTTAACTCAGTGGTTACTATCCTGATCTAGTATAAATTTGCCAGGTAGCATGACCGTTAAGCTGCTGTAATGAGCAAAAAGAACTCAAGTATGGTAGAAAAGATCAATGTGAGCTGATCGACGAGAAGCTAGCTGCCCTTACTCAGTTGCTCTTGTCTTGCTGTGTTCTGTTGATGGTGTTCCTTCCTTTGATTAAGGAAGAGTTGTAGCAAATATGACATGTATTGTTTTTTTTTCCCCCCAATGCGTTGGTTCCACCCTTTTAAAAGAAGTTGTTTCTGTAATTAGCTGAGGAGGTTGCTTAAAACGTTTGGAGTGATGAGAAGTAGGATATGTAGTATCTTGTCTATCTGAGATGGTAGGCAGTGTTCACCTCTAGATTTGTGGTAGGTGGAGTCATAACAGCTTAATATCTGAAATTCCACTCTTAGGATGAGGAAAGAGTAGCACTTTTGGGAAGTCATCCCTCTATGTACTTGCACCTTTGAAGGAGCAAGAAAGTTTAGATGACTGTTCAAAATGTGCATTTTTGTAATGGTTAATCTCAAAAATTCAAAACTGCTTCACAAACGGACAAGCATGTGACTTAGAAAATATCACTATCTTAATTAGGAGGCTTAGCTTTGTTCCCCTTTTGCCTGTGATTGCCCTGAATATAAATCATAGAGGCTTGGATCATGCTGTATAATTAAATTTCATCTCTTAGCTTAAAAAGATTAGTCACACATGCAAATTTGAAAAAGTGCGGCATTGATTTTGCTTTTCTTGCCTTGTGATTTTTCCTTATAAATTTGTTTTTCTTTTGTAATTTTAGGGAAACCTTACCAATGCTGCTTTGCCACCTTACACTTTTTACCTCAATCACCCAAATAAAAGTCCGAATTCCTCAATGTCTGAAGCTTCAGGTATAGTTAATTTCTTAAATTTCCTTTTCTTTTAAATTCTCATTTTTTTAAGAAAACTCTTACTAGAATCCATCTCCAGTAACTTTGGGAAGGTGAGAAGGGTTTGAGCACTGAGAAGGTATTAAACTTCGATATAACATAATTCTGCTTTTCCTGCTTTTGTGTTTCAAACTGATGGTACCTCCTGCATATCACTGCTGGCAGATGTAGGACATGCAGCAGTTTTTTTCCTTCGAATTTCTCAATGTTTCAAAGCTGAGCTTTATGTTTAGAACCATTTCATGAGGTAATTACTATTAAAATCGTGGTGGGATGTCAAATGATCTTTCAGATTTTAGCATCGTTGGTCTAGTAATCACAGAAGTACAAGGTAATAGATGTGGAATTCCTGCAAGCCAAGGGCATGATTCAGTAATTGTGGGAACAGATGAAAACAAGCTAATGCTGTGTGTACCGTGGTGATTCTTTAATTTGGGGTTTGCATGTGTGCTTTTTTGTGTTTTGATAGGATTTTGCTTTTATTTTTGGGTGTGTGTGCATGAGGAGAGGTTGTTGGTGGTGTTTTGGGGGTCTGGGCTTTGGTGGGGAGTGGGGTTTTTTTTCTTAGTGCTATACTGGAATCAGTAGAAGTATAAATGTTTGTGGTAAATGAGGATTTGTTCCTTGAACATCAAAGAGCAAATCGGGATGCTTTTGCTGATTTATAACTTCCGTGCCTGATGCTGTGTGATGTAATACTGATTATGTTGCTTGTGCTTTGCACTGAGATTTTCCTAACTTCTGGAAATGAATCTTTTGCTGAGATTTTTAAACAGTAGATACAAATAACTAGTACAGCATTCTTGTTAGCTGACAAAGTAACATTTTACTCATGGATTTTGGGATTCCTGTTCTATAGCTGTGAGCTTGAAATTTGTAATTTTTTCTTCCATTGTTTATTGTTATCAGGACTTTCGTACTGGAAATTAGATGAAAAGGAGATGTATCACTCTTTACCAGAGAATTTCAGAAATGAGTTCACTGATATTTTCTCCACAAAAGCATCACCAGATCAGGTAAATTTTGTACCTGTTTTAAAAGATATCTTGGAGTTGCTTGTCATCTTTGCTTTTTTTCTATGATGGAAAGAATCAGCCCTCCAGAAGCTAACTTTGCTGTGAGAATTCTTTTGTTAGCTCAGTCTCGCATATTCTGTTCCTTAATTATTCATTTACCCCGATGAAGTCACTCAGAATTTATTGACCTCCTTTTGTCATTTAAAAGAAATTGTATGTATAGGAGATGAGAGTAACTAGCATATTAAAGGTGTATGTGCCTCATTAAAGACTTTTTTTTTAACTGTGTACATTGAATAAAACCTTCCTCTGTTCTGAACTGATTATTAGCTAACCCCCTCCCAACTTGTTTATCTATGTGGGGGATGGAGAATTGTGTTCAAATAAATTAATGTGGCATTT